TTATAAACCTGGGTGCAATTCCAAAATCTGGTATAGCTAACTCAGCACCACTTATTTTGCACAGTTTTTCCAGAATAGTTGCAGTAACAGTGAAACAAGCACACCATATTTCGGGAGATGCTTACCGTCTATGGTTTAAGTGCGTACTTCACAGTTTGCAATGGCATTTGGTATTTACGCACCTGTGTAAGGACTACAACAGACTTTATTATTCACAAAGCATGACTGTGTTTTTCATAGCAATTTTCAGCTGCTGTGTTTGTCAAAAATTTCAACATTTTTACAGCACTTTATAGTTTTTGTTTTTTTATTCTAAAGAGAAAAAAATAAAATTTCAAAACAAGATAATAGGAGGGTAACAATGGTTAATACATTGCATGTTGTTATGTTTAGTTACTCAGAGTACAAGATATTGGCATTTAATTGTCAAACAATATTAGCAGAAAGCTTTCTTTTCAATGAACTAAGAGAAAATAGTAGTATAACTATCTTAATTATCATATGTATATTTTTTCATTTTTTTGCTTTTTCCTTCCTTCTTTTCTCCATTCCCACATCCCAGTTTCTCTTTCCTTTTAAAGTTTCTTCCCATTTTACAATATCTGTTGTACATCTTTTTGGTCTTTTTTGAGACAGGGTCTCGCTATGCAGTTCAGGCTGGCCTTGAGCTCACTTGGTAGCCCAGGCTGGTCTCGAACTCACAACTATCCTCCTGCCCCAGCCTCCCGAGTGCTGGGATTACAGGCGTGTGCCACCACATCTGGCTTCTATTATACATTTTGGATCTTATTTACTCTTTCAGCTTTTCACACTAGGAAGACAATACAATATTTGCACATGTGTGTCTGGTTTATTTCACTTATGAGTATGGTCTCAAGTTGCATTTACTTATAAAAGTCTCCAGTTTATCCTTCTATATGGCTGAGTAGTACTCCGTTGCATAAAAATGCTACATTTTTTTTATCCATTCCTTGGCTGATGCGCACTTGGATTGTTTCCAAGACCTAGATATTGTTGCACCACTCTACACTCCTACCAGCAGTGGAAAAGGGTTCCTTTTTCCCCACAGCCCCTTCAGCGTTTTTTATTGGTTGACTTCTTTTTCTTTGAGACAGGGTCTTGCTATGCAGTTCAGGCTGGCCTTGAGCTCACTTTGTAGCCCACGCTGGTCTTGGACTCAGAACAATTCTCCTACCTCAGCCTCCTGAGTGCTGGGATTACAGGCATGCACCATCACTCTCAGCCTTGGTTGACTTCTTGATAATAGGCATTCTTTCTGTGGTGGAATGGAATATCTCTGTTGTTTTAATTTTCATCTCTCAGAGTGACCAGTGATGTTGAACATTTTTTCATATATTTATTTGCAGTTTGTATTTCTTCATCTGAGAAGTGTGGATTCATCTCACATGCCCATTTTGGGGTTGGGTCTTTGAATTTGGGAGCTCTTATTTTTTGAGTTCTTCATATGTTCTCGATAGCAATCTGAGGAACAGCTGGCAAACATTTTTTCCCACATTGTGGGTTTTCTCTTCACTCGGTTGGTGGTTTGCCTTGCCATGCTTAAGCTTTTTAATAAGGTGAGATCCCAGTTGTTGATTCTTTGTGATAGTTTCTTTGTGATCAAGGTTTTATTCATAAAGTCATTGCCTATACCAATGTCTTCAGTAGTTTTGCCTATTCTATCTTCTAGGAGATTTAATGTATCTGTTTTAATATTTAGATCTTTGATCCATTTCAAATTTAGATTAGTGCATGGTGAAAGATATGAGTCCAATTTTAATCTTCGGCATGTGCAGAGCCAGTTTTTCTAGCACCATTTATTAAAGAGGAGATCTTTCTTTCAGTGAAGGTGTTTAGCACCTTTGTCAAAGATAAAGGCTGAGAATGTCTGGAGTTGTGGCTGATCCTCAGGTCTGTTTTTTTTTTTTTTTTTGCCAGTACCGTACTGTTTTTCACCACAGTAGCTTTATAGTAAAAGTCAGGGTTTGAGATGTCTCCTGCTTGCCTTTGTTGCCCAGAATTGGATTTGCTAATCTAGGTCTCTTCTGGTTCCAAAAGAATTTTAGGATTGTTTTCTCCAATTCTGTGAGATATGCTGTCGGAACTGCATTAAATCTGTATAACAGTTTTGGAAGTATGGCCATTTTCACAATATTGGTTCTTCCTATCCATGAGCAACAGATATCTTTCCATTTTCTGATATCCTCTTCAATCACCTTTTTCAAAGCACTGTAGTTTTCAATGTCTTTTACATCCTTCATTAGATTCCTAAGTATCTCATTTTTTTTTTTTTGGATGCTATTATGAAAGGTGATGTTTTTCTAATTTCTCTCTCAGTGCATTTGTTATTTGTGTACAGGAAGGCTACTGATTTTTGAGTGTTGATTTTATATCCAGCTACATTAATGAATTTGCTTATTAAATCTGGCAGTTTTTAGTGGAGTTTTTGGGTCTTCTATGTAGAGTATCATGTCATCTTTAAAAAATCATAATTTAACTTCTTCCTTTCCTATTGTTATTCCTTTTATTTTTTTCTCTTGCCTAATTGCTTTGGCTAAAGTTTCCAAGACTATGTTGAATAAAAGTGGAGACAGTGGACATCCTTTTCTCATTTCTGATTTTAGAGAGAAAGCTTTCAGTTTTTGTCCACTTAGTATGATGTTAGCTGTTGGTTTTCCAAAGATACCTTTTATCAGATTGAGGCAAAAACCATCTATTACAATTTTCTGTAGGGTTTTTATCGTGAATGGGTGCCGGACTTTGTCAAAAGCTTTTTCTGCATCTATTGAGATGATCATATGATTTCTGTCCTTGGCTCTGTTAATATGGTGTACTACATTTATTGACTTACATATTTTGAACCATCCCTGCATCCCTAGGATGAGTCCCACTTGGTCATGTTGTATAATCTTCCTGATAATTTGATGCATTCTGTTTGCCAGCATCTTACTGAGGATTTTTTGCATCTATGTTCATTAGGGAGATTGGCCTGTAATTCTTTTTCTTAGTTGGGTCCTTCTCTGGTTTTGGTATCAGGGTAATGCTCACTTCCAAGAATGAATTTGGAAGTATTGTTTCCCTTTCAATTTTATTAAAGAGTTTGAGAAGAAGTGGTGTTAGGTCTTCTCTAAATTTCTTGTAGAATTCAATAGTGAATCAGTCAGGGCCTGGGCTTTTCTTTGTTGGAGGGTTTTAATTAAATTTTTGATTTCATCTATTGATATTGGTTTATTTAGGATTTTTATATTTTCTTGATTCAGCTTTGGTAATTCATATGCATCTAGGAATCTGTCCATTTCTTCTGCATTTTCCATTGTATTAGAATAGAATTCTTGGCCAGGGATATAGCTCAGTGGCACAAGCACCTGCCTCATAAGCACAAGGTCCTGAGTTTGATTCCTGGTACCAAAAAAAAAAATACAAGTTTTCAAAGTAGATATAGAGGGCTGGGGATATAGCTCAGTGGTACAAGCTCCTGCCTGGCAAGAGCAAGGTCCTGAGTTCGATTCCTGGTACCAAAAAAACCAACCAAACAAACAAAGTAGGTGTAGATGATCTTATCAATATTTGCAATGTCTATTGTGATTTCACCCTTTTCATTTTTAACTGCATGGACTTGAGTCTTTTCTTTCCTTTTTTTGATAAGGTTTGCAAAGGCTTTGTTGATTTTATTCAATCTTTCAAAGAACCAACTCTTCGATTCATTGATTCTTTGTATTTTTTTTTTAGTCTCAATGTGTTAATTTCTGTTCTGATCTTCATAATTTCCTCCCTCATATGAGCTTTTGTCTTAGTGTGCTCTTCTTTTTCTAGAAGTTTGAGGTTCACCATTAGGTTTTTTATTTGTATTTGCTTTGTTTTCCTGATATGGGTATTCACTGTTATAAATTACCTCTTAGGACTGCTTTCATTGTGTCCTGTAAATTCTGGTATGTTGTATTGTCCTTATCATTTAATTGCACAAACTGTCTAATTTCTTCTTTAATTTCATCTGTGACCCATTGGTTGTTCAGGAGAGAGCTGTTTAATTTCCATGTGTTTGTGAAGTTCTTGTGCCGTGGATTTCCAATTTCATTGCGCTGTGATCTGATAATATGCATGGGATAATTTCAGTTCCTTTGTATTTACTTAAGCATGTTCTATGAGTCAGTATGTAGTCTATTTTGGAGACTGTGCAGTGTGCAGCTGAGAAGAATGTGTATTCTGATGTTGTGGGGTGGAACACTCTGTAGACATGCTAAGTCCTTTTGTTCAAAAATGTGGTTCAGTTGTCCTGCAGCCATCAGTACACCTTCTGTGGGCCTGAACCCTGCTGGAAGTCACGAATTGGAGCCCACAGCTGCTCTGAGTTCTGAGCTCCAAGATGGCCGCTGGCCAATTGCTCTCCCATGCGGGACGACTGAGCCCTCAGGACTCACCGCCAGCTAGTGCAGTCCTTCACATCCACTGCTCCCCTCCACTGCTGTGTCTCTCTCTGGAGGCCTCTGGGGTCGGCAGCAGTCACCATGTGTCAGCAGGTTTGAACCACTTCTTTTGTGCTGTGAGTCTCATCTCAAGGAGAAGCTGCCGGCTACCTCCTTTTTCTTCATTGAAGTTTCTCTCTTCACTCTCTTTGTGGGCTTCAATTCATGCTTCAGATCCTTCCTGGATCCAAGGGACCCACTTCTCTCCTTTCTGTCTTCCTCATGTTGGTATATTCCAGCATCTGAATAGCAACTCTCAGAGAGGCTCTTTCTCTGCTGCTTACCAGTCTGCCATCTTAGTGCTTCTCCCCACCCCAGTTTATGGTTTTTTTTTGCTTTTTGTTTTTTTACAGTACCGGGGATCAAACTCACGACCTTGCGCTTGACAGGCAGGTGCTTGTGCCACTGAGCTATATCCCCAGCCCCGGTTTATGGTTTTTCTAGCAGCACTGAAGCTACAAAAGAGTCAAAGGACCAGCTTGGATTTTGTCTTCCTTTCTGAGATTAATAGATGCACTCTTCTGTGTTCCCCTCCAGGGCAAAATACTTCAAAGGGAAAAAAATCCACGGAGAAATTGACATTAAAGTAGAACAGGTAAGTTGGGGCAGGTGGATTTGGGGCTCAACAGAACTGCAAACTCAGTGGCCATGTTTTGTGTGATAGTGGCAAAACACCAATATTCTCTTCTTTCCAGGCTGAATTCTCTGATCTCAACCTTGTGGCTCATGCCAATGGTGGATTCTCTGTGGACATGGAAGTTCTTCGGAATGGGGTAAAAGTTGTACGGTGAGTATCAGAAGGGTACCTTGGTGTTAGGAGAGAGGCATGAGAATTCCTTTAGAGCTAGAGAAGAGTCCCTGCTTCTCCAGTCAACACTGAGTGAGCAAGAACTTAGGCACAGGACGTGGGGAGAGAGTTTTTCTTCTGAAGAAGAACTAAGGATACCAGCAGGCCACAAGCCAAACTTTTCAATTATTCATTCAACAAACATTAAGCATCAGCTGCATGCGATGTGCTGCTCTCAGCACTTTATGTTTGACCAATATTTATTGAGCACCCACTGTGCGCGAAGAGCTGAATTCTCTACATGCTGAGGACCTAGGAATATACAAACCAAGTAAAAAATAAACCAAAGCAAAACAAAAACAAAAACCCCTCTGCCCTCATGACACCTATGTTCTGCTGTGGGATATGCACAACAAATAAACAAATAAATGTAAAAGTCCTAAGCAAAAATAAAGCAATAAAGCAGGTGTAAGACTGTTGGGCGGTGATGGGGTTTGCAATTTGGATAGGGTGGCCTGTAGCATAAAAGAGAGTTGTGGCCGGACTTGAAGAAAGGGAAGGAGTGATCTACGCAGATATCTAGGGGGAGGTGTTTCAGGCAGAGAGCAGCCAGTGCACTTTGAGGACAGGTGGTCAGCTGAGAGATTGTGCCCAGGGAGGTGCCATGGCTGAGTGGGTGTGCTGCCAGCTGACCTTGATGAGGAGGGCAGCAGGAAGGGAAAACTTCAAGGAGGTCAGCAGATGGGAAGGGTAGAAATGGTACGCAGGCAGAAGAACCAGCTTGTCCATGTGTGCAGAAGTAAGAAACCACTTGGTAATTTCTGGGAACTCTGACCATTTAGAAATTCAGTCTTTGTTCCAAGAGCAGTGGAGCACTTCTAAGGGAATTCTCAATTCTCCTACCCGTGCCCCTCCCAGGTCTCTGAAGCCAGACTTTGTGCTGATCCGCCAGCATGCCTTCAGCATGGCACGCAATGGAGACTACCGCAGCTTGGTCATCGGGCTGCAGTATGCTGGCATCCCCAGTGTTAACTCTTTGCATTCTGTCTACAACTTCTGTGACAAGCCATGGGTGGTAAGTGACAGGAAGGATACTACTGGCAGATGGAATAGCTCATGCATGCATGTGGGAGCCTGTGCATGTGACTTATTGGAAGTGAGGACATTTAGAAGCTTAGTGTGTTACTGAGTTTTCCAATACTGTAACAAATTCCTGAGACAATCAATTTATAAAGAGAAGAGGTTTATTTTGGCTCACAGTTTTAAAGGTTTTAGTCCATGGTAAATTGGCCCTGTTGCTTTGGGCCTGTAGGAAGGCAGCACGTCATGGGAGATGGAAGTGGCACGGTGAAGCCACTTCCCTGTGGCCTGGAAGTGAAAAAGAGGGGAAGGGGAGTAAAACTGATTAATATATCTTGGGAGGCTGAGGCAGGGGATCACAGTGAGTTCAGCGACAGCCTGGACTACATAGCAAGACCCTGTCTTTAAAAACAAACAAAAAATATCAATATATAAAAACAGATTGATATGCACCAATTCCTCAAGATGATTGTAATTATTATGTATCACAAAGCATATACCAATAAAAATAAAGAAGAGACCCACAGTCTCATTCAAAAGCTCATCTCCAGTGACCCAAAGCCTCCCACTAGGCCACACCTCTGAATGTTTCCACCATCTCCCAATAGCACCACTCTGGGAAGCCAGCCTTTACCACATGTGCCTTTGGAAGACATGCCAAATCCAATCTGTAGCATTTAGGGTCCCAGGTGAGAAACTCCCTCCAGGTGAAGGAGTCACTAACCCATGTCTCCTGGCTCTCGTAGTTTGCCCAGATGGTTCGACTGCACAAGAAACTGGGGACAGAGGAATTCCCTCTAATCGATCAGACCTTCTACCCCAATCACAAAGAGATGGTAAGTCTGGGGGAATGCGGGTGGCCAGGAAAGAAGAGCGTCAGCACTACTGTAGTATTACCGATGGCTGTATTATCAGTGGTGTGATGTCAAAGTGCTGCCAGTGGAGCATGTGGAGACATGATGTTGCTTTGTGATAGGGTCTGTTAACACTGGTGAAATATCCCTTATCAGAAATGCTCGGGACTAGAAGTGTTTCAGATTTTATATACTTTTTTGGATATTAAAAAATTTGAATATGCATAATGAGATATCTTGAGTATGGGACCTCAGTCTAAATATGAAATTTGTTTCATTTATACCTTATACATATGGCCCAAAGGTAATTTTATACAATATTTTTAGTAAGCTTGTGTTTTCACTGTGACAAGAGGTCAAGTGTAAATATTGTACTTGGAATATTACATTTTTAGCATCATAACAATGCTCAAAAAGTTTCTGGAAGCCAGGCATGGTGGCGCATGCCTGTAACCCACCACTTGGGAGGCTGAGGCAGCAGGAGAATTGCTGGGAGTTAGAAGGCAGGCTGAACTTCATAGTGAATTCAAGGGCAGCTTGAACTATACAGCAAGACCCTGTTTCAAAAAAAAAAAAAAAAAAAAAACAAAAAAAACAAACAAGAAGAAAAAAGAAAAAAGTTTCTAGAGCATTTCAGATTTTGGATTTCTGGCTTTGGTACCCTTAAACTGTACCATGAATTTACTAATGGCTATGAGTGTGAATTAAATCATCTTTTCCAATGTTTATAAAATCCTGTTGCTTATATTATCTATTCCTGCCAGTACTGTATTAAAAATGGTTTTCTAATGTAAATTAAAGAACTAATGTGATGAATCTGATTATTATAGAAATCAAATCATTTGTATTAACATTATCAAATAGTCCTCCTGATAGAAATTTTACAGCCGGGCATGGTGGCACACGCCTGTAATCACAGAGGCTGAGGCAAGAGTATCACTGTGAGTTCGAGGCCAGCCTGAGCTACATAGTGAGTTCAAGGCCAGCCTGGACCACACAATGAGTCCCTGTCTCAAAAAAACAAAAACAAAAACAAAAAAATCAAATTAGGATTACCAATAAAAGTGATAAGTAACAATGTTATAAATTAAATCGTTAATAAATAGAAATTAAATCACTGATTACTTTTACCAGAAAATATAATCCCTAGTATTATAAATTGTCATGAATACTATCAATTACTGCTACTGATATAAAGTATAAGTGCCAGTGCTGTGAATTAAATTATTCCTGGGCGTGGTGGTGCATGCCTGTAAGCCCAGCACTTGGGAGGCTGAGGCAGGAGAATCACTGCAAGTCTGAGACCAGCTGGGCTACAAAGTGAGCTCAAGGCCAGTCTGAGATGTCTAGTGAGAACCTGTCTCAAAAAGACAAACAAAAGAAAAAGACAAAATGAATTAAGTTATAATTGATAATAGAAATTAAACAATCAATAATATCATCAAATATTACCATTATCATTGAAATTATTAATATTAAAATTATATTCTAATATAAATTATAATTGCCTGCCATGTAGTATATTATAGAAATTGAATTATTATTATTAATATTAAGCATGATAAATACTATAATCTATTACTAGCATTACAAATTAAATGTATCAATATAAATTATTAGTACTTATGTTGTGAAGTAAGTTATAATTACCAAAATAAATAAAAGTATTAATACAAATTGTAAAATATTGTTGCAGATGCAAATTTTTGCCAATGCTACAAATTAAGATTACTAATATAAATTATAGGTCCTAATAATAATATGGTTAACATTCCAATTTTTATTATAAATAATTGCTGAAGTTAAAGTTCTGCTTAGTTATATAAATTATGAATATGGTTATGGATCAAATTTTACTTACTAATAGAAATTAACTCATTGCTACTAATGCCACCAAAGTTTATAACTAATTTTGTAAATTTTACCACTATTACAAATTTTGCTTAACTATATAAATAATCATTGCCAAAATTATTGCTTAAATTATAATTAAATATCAATATTAACCCAACATTGCTGCTAATATTATAAATACTTACCTGTAGAACATATTACAGTTGCTGATATATGTTAACAGTGTCTTGCCTTAAATTTACTTACAAGAAAGATCAAATTATTAGTTCAGGGAAATCTAATTCGTTTATCATTATTATTGTTCCACATTCTTTGAGGGACAGTATAAAAAAACGTGATTAAGAACATAGACTCTCTGGCCGGGGATATAGCTCAGTGACACAGCGCCTGCCTGGGAAGCACAAGGTCCTGATTTCGATTCCCAGTACAAAAAAAAAAAAAGAACATAGATTCTCTAGCCACAATTTCTGTAGTACAGGCTGGCCTTGAATTCACTGTGTAGCCCAGGCTGGCCTTACCCTCACGGCAATCCTCCTGCTGCAGCCTCCAGAGTGCTAGGATTACAGGCATGTGTCACCAAGCCCAGCTAGCCACAATTTCTGTATGGAAATCCTAGCTCCAAGATGTGGTAGTTACTTAACATAGGAAAAGTTACTTAAATGCCCTGTGCTTCAGTCTATCCATCTGAAAAATGCAGATAACACTATTCCTGCCTCATAGAGTTGATGTGAGAATTAAATTACTTAATAAATGTAAAGCGGTTGGAACAGTGCATCTGACATATATTAACTGCTACCTAAGTGTTGACAAAATTTCTTTTCTATTCCTAGTTGATTGTTTTTATCAAGAAAGGATATTGGATATTGGAGGAAAACATTTGTCAAATGTTTTTGTTGTGTTTATTGACATGATCGTGCAGTTGTTGCCCTTTATTCTAATGAACATAGTATATGACATTAATTAACTTTCATGTAAGTTGATACTTCATAAGTTTTTTTCTTTTTAGTCTTTTTGAGACAGGGTCTCACTATGTAGTTCAGGCTGGCCTTGATCTCACTTTGTAGCCCAGGCTGGCCTCGAACTTGCAACAATCCTCCTGCCTCAGCCTTCTGAGTGGTGGGATTACAGGCATAGGCCATCACACCCGGCCATAACTTCGTTTATGATGTGTTTGGGTGTAACTATTTGCATCCCTGAGCTAAATCTAACTTGGCCATGGTGTAAATCCTTTTTATATGTTGTGGAATTCAAGTAGTATTTTATTGAGGATTAAGTATCGATATTCATAAGGGATATTGGCATGTAATTTTCTTTTCTAATGATATCTTTGTCTGGTTTTGGTATTGGGGTAATACTACTGTTATAGAAAGTATTAGAACTGGGTGTGGTGGCACACATCTGTAATCCCAGCACTTGGGAGGCTGAGGCAGGAGCATCATTGAGAGTTCAAGACCAGCCTGGGCTACAAAGTGAGCTCAAGGCCAGCCTGAACTGCATAGAGAGACCTTGTCTCAAAAAGACCAAAAAAAAAAAATGTAGAAAGTATTAGACAGTATTTCCTTCTCTTCTAGTTTGGGAAGGTTGTTGTTATTTCCTTTGAAACATTTGATATAATTCAGTGAAGATATATGGTACTGGGCATTTCTTTGTAGCAGGTTTTAACAGTCTCTTCATTTATCATAGGTCTATTCAGATTTTCCATTTCTTCTTGAGTCAGGTTTTGGTAGTTTGTCTTTCTAGGAATTTGTCCAATTCATTTAGGTTTTCTAATTTGTTGGCATGTAATTGCTCATAGTACTCCCTTATAATCCTCTCTTATAAAGATCAGTAGCAATATCTGCTTTTATTCTTAATATTAGTAATTAGAATTTTCTTTTCTTCCTTAGCCTAAAAGTATTAATTTTGTCAGTATTTCCAAACAACGAATTTTTTTGTTTCATTGATTTCTCTTGTCTTATTCTCTACTAATGTACTTCAACTTTTTTCTTTATTATGCATTACCTTCTGCTTAATTTCAATTTAGTTTGCTCTTTTTTTCCTAATTTATTAAAATGGGAGATTAGGGGTTTTTTTGCCTTTTATTTTATGGCTATCCTTTAGATATACGTTGTAATAACATTATTCGTAGGGAATGTGTACATGGTATATCTTGCTTCTTCTTTATTTCCCATTCCCCTCCCCTCCCTCAGCCCCTCCATCCCTCTTTATTTACCAAAGCTTTGTTTCCATTTTCCTTTTATTTTTTTCTCTTGCCCCTTTTTTCCTTTCCCCCTACCCTCTCCCTTGCTCCCCTTCGTATGAAGGATTCAGTTATTGATTTGATATTTTCTTCTTTTTAAAGTCCAAGCCAGGCATGGTGGTGCACGCCTGTAATCCCAGCACTGGGGAGGCTGAGGCAGGAAAATCCTTGCAAATTTGAGACCAGCCTGGGCTACAAAGTGAGCTCAAGGCCAACCTGCACTGCACAGTAAGACCATGTCTCAAAAAGACAAAAATAAACAAACAAAAAGTAAAGTGCAGATACTCCTCCCCTCAAGTACAGATAGAGTTAGGTACCAATAAAACCACCATAAATTGAAAATATCAAAAGTTAAAATGCATTTAATACACCTAATCTACCAAATACCATGGGTTAACCTAGCCTGCATTAAACATACCCAGAACACTTACGTTAGCTTACAGTTAAGCAAAATCATCTAACACAAAGCCTATTTTTATAATAAAATGTTCAATACTTCACATATGCACATAGTGAGGCGATTTGATGGGATGCAAAACCACAGAACACAACATCCCCAAATTCCAAATATATGGCACACTGTAGAGTGTCAGTTATTTTGCCCAGCACATGTGGTCCCCAGCATTTAATCCCAGCACCATCAAAGCAAGCTCAGTTGTATACCATCATGATTGCACGGCTAAAGGGAGCTGTGGCTCACTGCTGCCCAGCCTCACAAGAGATTATATAGAACTACACATTGCTAGCCCAGGAAAAGATAAAAATTTAAAATTCCAGTACAGTTTCTACTGAAATGTATGTCACTGCTACCACTGTAAAGTGGAAAAATTGTAAGTTGAACCATTTTAAGACCAAAAATGTCTGTGTAGATATTTTATAACTATGAATT